AGTCACAAGCTCCTTCTCTTTGTTGCTTCTGGTACATCGATTAGGCATACACCTGAAACCAAAACAAAGAAAAGAAACTGAAAGTTAGTAAACAAATTAAAACTTAGACAAAATCCTAATACTAAAAATCGATAGGCAGCTATTACTCCCCGACAACGGTGCCAAAAACTTGATAGGGCTCAGGTTTTACCCAAATAAAACTACTGCAAGTGCACAGCAAAAGCAATTGTAGTACAAGGGGTATCGAAACCCAAATGAGTAATGCAAACTACACTATTTCAGATTAAGCTAAGAAGAATGTAATGTATGTAATGCGAATGATAAAATAAAAGTAAGCAAGCAAATTTATTGTTTGATTTAAGTTTCAGAAGACTAAAAGTGCTAAGTCAAGACAGTTCGCAGGTTGAATCCATGAATGTAGAATACATGAAATCAGGAATGATTAAGAACCGTTTTAAACATGAATCACTGATGTATAACTAATCATTTCTCATTGCAGAAGTTATCTATATCTAAATCACAGAGTTTCAAATCTCTTTGCAAACCCTAACAACCTAAACATGCAATATGATTAGATTCAATTGTTCACAAAACTCCTAAGCCAAATCTCTTTGCACTAAGTTGTTTTGCTCATCAAATACTAGTTCAGGTTATCAATAATGCTCTCACATATATTTAACAACCTATGATTTTCGGATTTCTAGATGATGTGTCTAAGAAATTTGATTTCAAAGCAAGCAGAGATGAAAAACCAAAAGTTATTCCTAATAGGTAGCAATTCTACAAACTCTTCATCAACCTTTGGAAAAGCCCTAACTTAACTAACAAATTACTCAGACATGATCATAGAATCACAAAACATAACTGAATAAATTTGCATTAAAAGAATAAAATAAAAACAAAAGGGGTTCAAAATCTTCTCCAAAAAGAGTACATGATCTGTCTCCCCAAAAGCTCTCAATAATATCATCTCTAAAAGCTTTCTGAATTCTTAAAAACTAAGATAAAAGCCAACAATGGCCGAAAAATCTAATAAATAGAGGCTAAACACAATCTGGGGCCTTCTTGCAAATATTGGAATTTCTGGGCCAATTCTGCAAATAATCTACATACTTTAAATAAATTAGCCACGCTCCTTCCTTGGTGGGTGACGAGCGTCACCATAACGCATACTTTCTCCTCCGAGCTAGGCACTTTGTGGCTTCAACTTGCAATGCTCCAAAAAAGCTTCAATATCCCCAATTATGCTCCAGACATGCTATAACCTGCAAAGACTCTTTTAGGACTCTAAAAAGACCAAAAATACTCAATAAAAAGGACTTATATCATGGTTAAAACAATAAAAACCATGATATATCACCTAATATCACCAAAAATCTTGTCTCTGTCCATCGATTGTGTAACACTAATAAAGTCTCGGTGGAATTTTTCTCTGCCCATTTCCAGGTGAAGGATCTGAGATCGGGGGCTCTATTACTCCAAGGTCGTACTAACAAAGATCTCTATGAATGGCCCATCTCTTCACTCGTCGCCTGTTTTTCAACTCCACAAGTCAAAACTTCTGCATCTGATTGGCACTCACGCCTTGGTCACCCTTCCTTATCTATTCTTAAAACTATTCTTTCCCGCAATTCTCTACCTTGTTCTGAAACTTTATCTGATTCTCTGTCTTGTGTTGATTGCTTTACTAATAAAATTCATAAACTTTCATTCTTTCAAAACTCAATTTCATCCTCTCGACCATTACAAATCCTCTATACTGACCTACGAACCTCACATAGCATCTATATTGACAACTATAAACGTTATCTTCTTCTTGTAAATCATTTACTCGCTGGCTCTATCCATTTAAACTCAAATTAGATGTTAAAGAAATTTTCATCCGCTTCAAAGCTCTCACTGAAAACCGATTCCAAACAAAGATACAGACTCTATTTTTGGACAATGGAGGAGAATTAATTACCTTACGTACCTTCTTAGCAACATCGGGAATTACACACCTGACTTCTCCTCCCCACACCCGAACACAATGGGCTAGTTGAGCATCACCATCGCCATATAGTTGAAACTGGTCTCTCTCTCTCTTACATCACGCTTCTCTTTCCAACACCTTCTGTTCTTATGCCTTCTCTACGGCAGTATACCTGATCAATAGAATGCCCACGCCAGTTCTTTCATTTGCTTCCCCATTCTCTCTTCTCTGCCGAACTGATCCCAACTACTCCAAATTGAAAATTTTGGCTGTCTTTGTTTCTCTTGGCTTCGTCCATATCGATCCCATAAACTTGAACCTCGACCGAGCTCATGTGTCTTCCTCGGCTACTCTTTGACTCAAAGCGCATATCTCTGTTTTGACCCTCTTCAAAATCGTCTTTATGTTCCCAGCATGTTCAGTTTTACGAACAAAGTTTTCCTTACAAATCTCTCCTTCCGTTGTCTTCTATGTCACCCCCTATCACTGCTGTTTCTTTCTCACTATCACACTCTCATGTTCCGCTCAATCTCCCTCAATATCTATCACCCATGCCTCCAACCACAAATCTTGTTCCTGCTTCATTGACGGAACTCGCTTCTCCATCCTTTTCCACATCGGTTTCATCTTCCTCCAAGACCACATCAACATCATCAATCTCATCACAGGAACATCCACTTTCTGCAATTAATAACAATCCACCTAATAAGGCTCCTCCATTCACTCTATCGTCACCGTCGTCGATACACACTAACCATACTTTGTTGACGACAACACCATCTCCGTCGTCCTCAAATATTACAGACTCTTCCTTTATCTTCTCTTCACAACGACACGACAATAACATGTCAAAATCAATTATGCCTTCCCAGGCCCAATCTTCCCTCCGGCCCAACAAATATTAAACAATCCAATAACATCAGGTCCAACATCTATACCTCTTCATTTTTGTGCAGGCCTATTCTCCTCATCCGCGAGCCACACATCGACGCCGTAACAAAGCTCCACCATCCCAGCCACTTCCACCGGATAATCAACATCGCATGGCCACTCGTGCATTGAAGCCGAATCCGAAATACGCCAACAACGCCGTTGTTAAATGAATCAATCGAATTCCGACAAAATTACTCAGGCTCTAGCTGATCCTTAATGGCGAAATGCAGCTTCATAAGAATTCAACTCCATCCTCGCTAACAACACATAGTCTCTTGTTCGTCCTCCCCTTAATCAGATTATTGTTGATTGTCACTATTTATTTACACTAAAATATGCTTATGATGGCTCTATTCGCAGGTACAAAGCACGCCTACTTGCAAAGAGCTATATTCAAAGACACGAAATTGATTTTACTGAGACATTCAGTCCAGTAATCAAATCCACAACAATTCGATTGGTTCTCAACGTTGCCGTTAGTCGATCATAGCCTATAAAACAGCTTGACGTGAATACTGCATTTCTTCAAGGATCACTAATGGAAGATGTCTATTGTACGCAACCCCTTGGTTTCATTGACGGTGACTCGTCCACACCATGTTTGTCGCATCCACAAAGCACTTTACAACTTGAAGCAAGCGCCAAGGGCTTGGTATCAGGAACTCAGAAATTTTCTTACCTCCTCTGGTTTCGTTAACTCCCTTGCAGATGCCTCACTCTTCATCCTCAATCGTGAATCCAATCTTCTTATGTCCTTATCTACGTCGATGTTATAATCATCACCGGTAACAATCATCAACTATTACAGCAGACACTCGACTCTCTTGCCACGCGATTCTCTGTCAAAGACCCTGAAAACTTAAACTATTTTCTTGGTATTGAAGCACACCAAACATCACAAGATCTTCACCTTACTCAGCGTCGATACATTTTGGACCTTCTCACTCGATACAAGATGCTGGATGTTAAACCAATTACTACCCCTATGGCGACAACTCTTAAGCTCTCTCTTCGTTCAGGCACATCATTATCTGATCCGACTGAGTATCGTGCTCTCATTGGAAGCCTCTAATACTTGGCGTTCACCAGATCCGACATTGTATATGCAGTAAGTCGTCTTTCTCTGTTTATGCACACCCCAACATCTAATCATTGACATGCAGCTTAAAGAGTTCTACGGTATCTTGCTGGAACCTTTTCTCATGGACTCTTCTTCAGCAAAGACAATCCAAGCGTTCTCCACTCCGACGCTGATTGGACAAGTGACCTTGATGATTTTGTTTCTACTAATGCTTATAATATATATATGGGCAAACATCCAATATCATGATCATCTAAGAAGCATAAAGGTGTTGCTCGATCTTCAACGGAGGCTGAATATAAATCTGTCGTAAACACCTCAGCTGAGATACATTGGATTTGCTCTCTTCTTACTAAGCTTGGTATTAACATCTCCTCTCATAGAGTCATGGAATAAAGCAGTTTTCCACTCTCGGATGAAATATCTTGCTCTCGACTACCACTTCATACAGAATCATATCACAACCAATATATTACACGCCGCTCACATTTCTTCAAAAGACCAATTGGCTGATGCATTGACAAAACCCCTATCTCGTGCTTCTTTTACTTCACTTTCGTCCAAAATTGGAGTAGCTAAGGCCCCTCCATATTGAAGGAGCATATTAAGAGAAAGTGTATCAATCGTAACACACACAATCCCTATGATCTCTCTTCTTGATCTCTGTAATTAATCCTAGAATATCTCGAGAACTCTCCCTTCGACCACTATATATATTTGTACATAAAATCTAAATCAAATACGATTTATACATTCTCTATAATCTATTCATGTCATTGTAGCATTTGATAATCAATCCAAAATGATTAAGATTTAAAGCACTATAAATACATAAAACTATCCAGTTAAACAATATCAAGTCTCGTTGTCATGAGAATCAAGGTAAACCTTCTCTGTCTGACTAGCTTTGCTCGCACCACCCACTCTATCTAATAGTGAAATCTATCAGAGAATACGTTGATAAGTTTACTGTTAATATGTCACTCTGTCAATGTGGCACTTTTTAGTTAGTTGTTGTAATACTATATGTGATTAGATGTATAAAATTTAACATATGGTATTCACCATTTATAAAGTTATTTTAGGTTATTAACTGAAGCATAGTGAAAGCAATAGAAAATGTGATTGACACACATATACATGTTTCAAAATAGTAATCAAAGAATGACAATGCACTAGATAATATACAAACACAAGAATCATTCAATAAGAGGAATCTAGAGGCTACGGCAGAGGTAGGTCAGTAGGAGAAATCATTCAAAAGTTGAATTCGTTTTTGCTGCTGCTGGGATAGTCCTTGAATATCCTTGACAATGTCGAACACTGCCTCAGGATGCGCCAATTTAAGAGCGTTCTCTGACATTTTCTTTAATTCTTTCTTATTGCCACTGAACCAATCAGCTACAATATTTGCCGTTTCTTTGGGACTTCGTGTAAAAATTCCAGCCCCGTTTTCCACAACATACGGTACATTACCTTTTTCCTTTGAGAGTAACATTTACACGAGTTGGTTTGTGGATTAACGGTTGCCAATTAATATAAGGATAAAGCAAAAAATGTATGTGTACCTGTCCAGGAATGTAGTCATTGAGAATAATTGGGAGGCCACAGATCAATGCTTCTGCAATCGTACCTGGACCGGCCTGTTTGGTATCATTAACACTTGTAAAATATTCTAATATACGTAGTACTATATGAACTGGATAAAAGATTCGAAGTTATGGCTTACCTTTGTGATGATGCAATCACAAGCTCCCATCCATTTCTCCATTTCTGTCTCAAACCCACGAATCTATAACATATCATAGATATAAATTACTAATCACTTGCTACAAATATGCAGTAGTAAAAAAAAAAAAAAGCACATTTAATATATACCTTGATTGGAATCTTCCATTCGTGAGATGCTAATGTAGAAGCAAGGATTTTGTTTCGACCACATATGACAATTAATTGTCCTATTGGATTTTTTTCTTTACAATTATATAAAGAGTTTCCAAGGGCTTGAGCAGTTTTTTTAACTGGCCCCATTCCTTCGCCACCTCCCATTAATAAAACCGCAGGCAAATTTGAGTCGATTTCAAGCTCTCTCCTTAGCTCATCCTAACAAAACGTAACAATATATATACAAAGTCAAATTTCTAGAGGTTTATAAAAACAATTCAAATGGTATGAATTCAATAGAATTACTTTGTAGATAACAGTGCGAGGGAATGATGGGCGAACAGGTAAACCAAAGACACGAATTTGAGAGTCTCCAAGGCCATCTACTAATGCTCTCTTTGCAACTTCTTTGGATGGACAATAACATCTGCTAACTCCATGATGGAACCTGATTATTACATCAAAATAAAGATGAGTTTTGACTTTTGAACTATAAATTTAAGATTATATAAATTACTTAATAATTTTAACTCGAGAATAAATTGTACTCATATATGTAGTATATAAGTAATTATCATCTTACCATGTACGATGGCAAGTGTTTAGATCAGTGATAACCGTCACGAAAATTACTTTCTTCTGAAGTCCTTTCCTTTTCATTACCCATAATGGAATGTGTTGCATCAAAGGATGCACACTAATAATAATGTCCGGTTTGTACTCCATTAAACCGGTCTCTATTTCTCTATACGCCCAAAAATAAAACAACATGATAGAAATAAATCTTTGGAAACTAAAGGATCATAAGAAAAGGGAAAAAGGCAAAATAGAGTGGTTAACATATATGTACTTCGCATAATAAGCGGCAAGAGCACTGAGATAACTTCTGTGAATCCATTTGGGAGAGGTACCATGAAAGGCGACTGACCAAAGACCAACATGTTTCACCATGAACTTGTACTGTCTCTCCATGTCGTTCAGTGGCCATCCTGTGTATTCTTTCCATACGTCTTTTATGATTATCTATAAAAAAAATAAAAATAAAACATTAGTTCCTAGAGCTAAAAACATAAATAATGCGAATTTTCATTGTTCACAAAAAAAAAAAGAGAGAGCAAGGAAGGTGGGACATGTTTTTAAAGACATCAAATGTTGACATCACTTGCGTATCTCCGACAACGTGGCAAACGCCAAGATCTATACTAGGCTACAAAATTTCCAAGTAGATATTTGTTTTTATTTCTTTTAATCCAGGTGATCACTGTGACAGCTTTAATATTGACGGCTGTTATTCATCGTCATTGCAGCTACAAATCAGAAACTCCTTGGTGTTATTCGGGCATACATCAATTCGAAAATTTGTCAAAATCAATACGTGTTTATTCCTATATATTAACCAGTTTTGAAAATTTACAAATTAACCCTTCAAAATATTTTTTTCAGAATAGATCTTAGAACAGAAATTAAAGAGAGAACTTTGTGTGGTTATATACTTTTGTAGAGTTTTAGATTTTAGATTTTAGTTTTTAGTTTTCAGATTTTGATTGAAAATAAAAATCCAAAAGTGAAATAGTTTTAATTTTTTTATACTAAATTAGTAAACATACGAAAAGTGGGTACCTTGATTTTTAAGAACACTAGTTTTTCAAATTCTTGAATGAATGAGTTAGTTTTATATCTGAAGCATAAACAAATATCTGTCAAAAACAATACATATTTGAATTTTTTTAAATGAATCTTTTTTCAAAATAGATCTTAAAACAGAAATGAGAGAACTCTTTTTTTTTGTCAACAGAAATGAGAGAACTCTAAATGGTTATATATTCGGCGATAAATTGTAATTATAGATTTGTGTACCCTTTTTGTAGAGCACAAAATTTTAGTTTTCAGGCTTTTGTTATTATAAAGAACCCAAAGTGAAATAGTTTTAAAATTCCCTACTAAAAAAGCGTAGAAACTAGTCACCTTGGTTTTTAAAAACACTAGATTTTCAAAATCTTAATTGAATGATTAAGTGAACTTTAATTTCAAAACAAAAAGGTAAAGAAAAACTACTAATATGCTTGAATTTTGTAGCTTATATGGTTCAAGAAGCCATAAATTGGCTCCACCGCATGCGTTCGAGTCAAGGTAAAGAGAAAGAAGATGCAGAGAGAAAGAGAATATATAATTATGTCATAAATAAATATTTATATTACCCGAAAGTCATCACCGAATTCGATCTTGAAGGCGTCACGGATAGCCTCGGCGGAGGCACGGTGGCCACCGCCGGTATCACTCATTAGAATAAGAACAGTTTTAATCCTCTCTGCTCCCATCTGCTCCATCTCCATAAACTCTTCCTTTTCTTCGAACCCTATTTTCCTCAAACTCTCCTTCCCATAATCACCTGATCTCGATCTCCGGCGAGTATGGCTATAGTCATCGTCGACGGTCGAGAAACTAAAATTGCTGTAGACTCGCCGGAAAACTTTCTCCGTTAATGAATCAGCTTGCGTACGAGGCGAAGCCACTTTCATCATCAGTATTCGATGTTGAACAAGAAGAAGAACGATGGTTGTAGTTTATGTGGGCTGGTTGGTGATCTTTATGTAAATTTTGGGGTTTAAATTTTGTTTCAACCAAAAAAAAAGGGAGACCAAGTTGTTGTTTTGAATAATTAAAATAATTTTAGGAATGATGCTGGAATTATTCTTTTCTTTTATTTTATTCCTATAGTTTTGCTTCTGCTTTTTATTTATCGTGTCTTTATTGTTTTAAGTGGGGTTTACTTTTGTGGAAGAGTAAGGAGGGAATAAGGCAGTTTCGGAATCTTCGGATATGAAGATTCGGATCTTTTGTTGAATCATAAAGTTTTTGGAACAACTTGACTTCTTTTTTTATTGTTTAAAAAACATGACCTGGATACTCTTTTGTTACCGGTTTGTGATAACTGTTTTATTAGCTTTGGAGAGCATTTTGCAAAATGTGTATAGGAGTGTATATTCTTATTCTCCACGATAGTCGAATTTCAAATCGTATATCTGTCCACTCAAGTATGAGTAATATCCGGGAGTATAATCGTCATTGGTGTTTAAAACCTAAAATCATACACAAATAAGTGAAATGGCTCTCGGGAGGGACGAGAGGGAATTTTCCTTTTGAAAGTTCTGCAATGCTCAAATCAGACATGCACAACTAGAAACATATAATCAAAAGAGAGTGAGGTGTTGTAACTTGTGCATGTAGATCACGATGTCTATCTGACATGGTGTAAACGTAGAGTATAACTTAGCTAACCCGAGAGTGGGTTAAAGCTTTTCCGGACCAGCTAATGATTCGGACAAAAAGCTTTGCTTATATGAACGGGCATATAGACTAGATATGGTCGGATCTATATGCCAAAGAGCACACTCAAAGGTGTTTGACGGTGGGAATCGGTCGTGAACGACATGGTCTGAATGTGCTAGGCCTCGTCTCGGGGATGGATTCTGCAAAGATCCTTTTCTTTTTTGGCTTCTTCATCGACAAGTAAGATTTTATTCTCTACTTGAATCAATGACCCAAACTCATATTATAGACGTATGTAGTATAGAGATGTGTTTTTGTCAATCCATAAGGGGAGTCATTATGATGGTGTGTTTAAGTTAAAAGAATATCCAGATTGGTTTGTTAAGCTATTAAACTCAACATTCAACAAGAGTTAAACTTGTGTCAATGAACAGAAATAACAAGATTAAATATAACTAAAAATCAAGGACTAGCAATAACAATATTAAAAGTGCTTTAAGATTTAGACTTAATCAATAAAGGAAAGGTCTTCGGAAAGGATACCGAGTTGGGAACTATTGGGTCAACTAAAATGAAAACATTTTAACAATCATCAAGATTTTGGATTTTTAGTGGTAGCTCTTTGGTAGAGGGTTCCACAAATAGATTAGCTAATGGTATTTGGGTCTAATCCCTTTGCTTAATATTTAACCGAAAGTCTAAATATTGTTAGTGATAAAATAGAAAGCAAGCTAGAGTAGTCAACCCTATTGAACTGAAATACCTCCTAGATAGCCAATATCTTGGGTTAGAAAAGTGGATCATTTACAAGCGGTTCCGGCTAAATCCACAAACATGGTGTTTGCTAGGGACGTCTGAGAACTTTGACTCAAATGATCAGTTTGAACCGAGCAATAGTAAAAGCGAGCAAAGAAGAACTAAGAAATGAAACGCTATGCTTATCAAGAACATAAAACCGAGAGTCCCTTCTCTTTTAACCCACCCGAAAACCTAAGAGAAACTACTCACTCGCTATAGGAAGAACCTCTAAATCCATGGAGCTGAGAGAGTTAATCATGTCTAAAATAGATTAAAGACAATAAAATAAGAAAAGTACAAGGCTTTATTAAGGAAATGTAAGATTATAAATTTTAATAAATAAAAATTCAACCTTGAAAAGATAAGCAACAATGGAAAACACAGAATTTTTGTGATGAAGACAAGTGCAAGAGTCCTCCACAACATTTGTGGCCAGGCGCTTTTATAGGTGAGGTGGGGAAGCTCTAGTGATTCATGAAAACTTTGCCAAAAGTAGAATTCTCCTTGGACTGTTGCGTTCGGGTGCAGACCGTTGTGATAAAGTGATGCGGATTTCTTTTTGGACTCAAACCGTAGTGTGGTGGAGATCAGACCGTTGTAAGTTTTGCATTGGACTAAGACATCGGTTGCAAGCCATTTTCAAATACCCTGGAAGCCTTATATCAGGTACAGATAGCTGCGCCAATCCAATGCAGTAGCAAAGATAGTCTTCCCTGCATAAGCTTCGACTACTTTTCATTAGGGACACACCGCTGTAGTTGTCCGATATGCAGACCCTGTGTATGCATTGGTCTGGTTAGACCGTTGTGCCTGTCCGATATGTGAACCTGTGTATGCAACTGTCAGGTACAGATAGCTGCGCCAATCCAATGCAGTAGCAAAGATAGTCTTCCCTGCATAAGCTTCAACTACTTTTCATTAGGGACACACTGCTGTAGTTGTCCGATGTGCAGACCCTGTGTATGCATTGGTCTGGTTAGACCATTGTGCCTGTCCGATGTGTGAACCCGTGTATGCAACTGTCTGGTTGGCCCGTTGTGGCTGTCCGTTGCGTTGAGGCAAAACATCTACTTCATTTTTCCTTGATTATCTTGTCCTCTAAATCATCCTTTAACCTTTGACAAACCTCCATAATACTTTAGGTACCTGATAACACTCCAAAACATGCAAATTGATGCAATTTCTATCTTAATGTTCACTAAACCTAAGATGCATATTTGGATAAAAACTAAGGAAAATATTCATGAATGAGATCTAAAGGTATCATTTATACATGCTAAAATAATGTAAAATACAGAGGTATCAACATCACCAAAATTGTCTTTTTGCTTTTCCTGAAACAAATGAAAACAAACAAGGGAGTGAGGTTTTAAAAACAGGTGTTCAAATTCAAAATGTCATTAAAAAAGATCAAATCAATGTCTTCGTTCATAGTGATAAGATACAAATCAAATTCATCCTACTCTAAAGTCTTAGCCACACTTATCTCAAAATGCAAGGTATTTAACCTCAACCTACACACACAATCAAATCACCCTATCCCTTTAACATTCATTTGAAAATCTAAACTATGAATCATGCTTATGTTCATCAATTAAGCTTATTTGGTTGCAGGTAAGGTTTGAGCTAAAAATGAACTCAATGCAAAAGGGGTTAATGTGTTTTCAAAGATCACTCAAGAGAAGAATCAACCAATGGTAAAATGCTAAGAGTAAAAACTAACTGATGCATACAAGAATGACTTCCATCTACCCAAGCACCTAATTAAGCATCTACCTTAGTCTAATCCCACAGATTCCCTCTTAGTCTACCCTTTCTTGTGGCCCTTTGCCTTAATACCCATTTACCTTTCCTTCATCTACCTTGATTGCTATAGGAGAACTCTTAGTTTAACTTTTGGAGAATGGTTTTTTGCGCCTCTGGGCTTATCTTTGGCGCTTCTTTGACTTTTCATCTTTGGTGTAGTTGGCCGAATGTTTACTTTGTTGCCTTAGCCTTCTTTTGTTACTTTTGGACCTGCCTTTCGTCTTTGTTTCTGAGCATATTTATTTGCTGCCATTTCTTCACCCTCAATATGGATCAATTTTTCTTTTCCTAAGCTACCCGATGAAAAACCCTAGCCTATACTAGCTCGAAATGGAAGCTATCCTTGTCAGCTTAAACTCAAGATGTGTTACCTAGGGTGATTTGAAAAATGCATAAGAGGCCTTTCAATCACTCACGAAAGTGTTTTGGTTTTTAAAGAAAGCTTTGGTTTTTGGGTAAGAGAGGCTACTTGGAAAATCAAGAGTGATAAAAAAGAAGAAGAATATTCAAGTATTTTGTGGTATCTGTGAGTTTAAAAATCAGAACACAAGCATGATAATTGTGAATCAATATTTACGGTTCAAGTATAATTAGAGAATGGATCAAATCAAGAGTTCTTTAGCTAAGGATTAAATAACAATGCATAAAGTCCAATTGTGGTTCTACCTTAATTTGATTTTATTCAAATTGCATCAAAGAACTATTAACAAAAGCATTGATCTCATGACTTAAAATGAAAAATTATAAAAAAACTCTATCATTACACCCTATGCAATGCTGATGAATCATATATGCTATGCAACTAGGCTTAATCCTAGAATAAAAGTGCAACTATATGCTATAATCTTTTAAAAATTTCCAAAATTTTTTAATTTTTTATTGATTTTTCAATGCAGTTAAATGAATGCATGAGACTCAAAGTGATGCAAATAAAAACTAAGAATCACAAAATGCAATGTTCGATAATATAAAACCATCCCTCAAACTTAAATCACACAGTCCTTTGTGTCATAAACAAAAATTAATGAGAGTGAAAGCATAAAGACTTAAAATATGCAAAAACAAGAAAAATGCAAACGGTATATACAACAGTGTTTGGAGTGTGTACTTTAGTATCTAGGGCATATTGAGGACCTTGAGTCCTCATTAGTTAAGAGTGGAGGGTTGCTGGATATTGGAATTGGCGAGCGACATCCTCTTCTCTTTCTTGACCCAACCGGCTCATAGTAAGAGGCACTTGATGGCTCAGCAGGAGGCTCGTTTCTTGGTTTAAAGTGGAACAAGCTTGGTTGCTTGGCAGAATGAGCATGTACTCATAATCGTTACCGACCTTCTTGCCAAGAAACCGTATCTTTCTTAGATAAGAGATGTCAACCTAATCGATTCCGTGAGTAGCCTCCTCTAGCTCGGTGTCAGCTCCTCTCAAGATAGCTGTCACAACACCTCCTACAAATGACTGATTTGAGGCTTCTCACTACCAGTCGTTCATCCAAGTCTTGTAGCGAAGAAGGTGTTTCAACAAGACCGTAATGAGGCTGGTTCCCTTCCCACTTCCCTTGAGTTCAGTCCCATTCCGAGCGGTGCCAAGGAAATCTACTAGTCCATCGTCTATGACTTTCAATTCCTTGGTCAGCACGGCTCCACACTCCCTCGAGAAGAATGCATGGGCTATGGCCTTGTGTACATAGCGTAAATCCGGATGCTTTATGGCTGCACTCTTGGTAACTCCAGGTTTGTAGCTCCCAACTATGATGGTTCCCCATACAGCCTCTAACTCTTCTTTGTTGATGAAAAGGCCATGTCCTCTTGTAGCTCCTTGG